AGTTATGGGATGAAATCGGATAGAAATGAAATTGTTTAGGGATGAACGGGTTTAAGAGTTTTAAGAGTTTAAGAGTTTTTAAGAGTTTTAGCCAAATGCTTTATAATATAGTATAGATATATAATAAAAACCTGTTACAAGATATACTGATTTATGGAGAATGTTAACCAAATTCCCTCCCACGATTTAGCATTACTGCTTTTTGTCTTTTCAAGTCCGTTAATAAGAGTTCAAAAGTTCGTCAAATTAATTAACAATAACATAAACAAATTAAGGGACAGTTTACCCAAATGCTTACTCGGTAAGCGCTTACCGATAAGAGTCAACACTATGATTTATTTTGATGCATAATATTTTAGTACATCAAAACATATCGAATGTAACAATTTACTGGGTAAGCGGTTACCTGGGTAAGAGTCATCATCCTCACTTGTCGGGTAAGACTCTTCATCTTTCTCATCATCATACCTGGTAAGATTTTTGACCCTTCTCATATTCATCCGATTAAGAAATTTATCCGGTAAGCATTTACCAAGTAAATGTTATGATCTCTAACTCCAAATATAAACAAATTGATCTTGAATATGAATATTATCATAAATATGTTAACCTCAAATATTTACAGAAATAAATATTAACCGAGAGTTAGGATTAGATTGTGTGAAGACTTATTCTCAAATCGCTGGAAAGAAAAAAAAATGTGGTTGCACTAATAAATAACTTAAAAGAGTTAAAATGCTGTTTACCCAAATGCTTACCCGACAGGTGCTTATCTATAGGAGAACACTATAATTTATTTTGATGTGTAAGATTTTAATACATCAAAACGTATTGAATGCAACACAATTATTGGGTAAGCACTTACCCGGATAAGTGTTGTAATCTTTACTTATTGGGTAAGACTCTCCATCATTCTCATCACTCTTACCCGATAAATTTTTTGGCCATAATCATGTTCATCCGATAAAAAAAATGATCCTGTAAGCACTTACCAAGTAAGTGTTTAGTAAACGGCCCCTTACACCACTTCGGACTAAATGAGTGGTATCATATCGGTTTTTGGTTTATTGGGTTCGAGTTAATCGATTTACAACTTTTTTTAAAATTGACTAGTAACCAAACCAATTAAGATCCGGCTTATTCAGTTTTTGAGTTATTTGGTTCAGTAATCGGTCAAAACTGAATAAAAGTTCATATTTTTCATTTGACACTTGCTCCAATAAGTTTCTCATATTCAATGCCCGTTTTATTATAATACATAATTGCATCATAAATTCGTACTCAACAATAGATTCATATAAAATAGAAAGAATCATCTATCAAAAACAACGTTGTTTCTTCATGTCACGAATTACGTCAAGTAAAAAACATAATCTAACACAAAACATTATATAGCAATAGAAGTGTAAAACAACGATAGTATAATATGTATTTGATTTGATTTTAATAAAAATAAAAAAATTAATACTATTCGGTATTCGATTACCCGAACCATTTACCCTGGAAACCGAATAATCCAAAACCAATACAAGTGGATTATTCGGTTGCGGCATAAACGTGCATCTGACCATGCGGTTTGATTGATCGATTATTCGGTTGCGGTTATCTTCGACACCAGTAGATATCACTCCCGTAAGCGTGCATCCACCCATGAGGTTCAATTGATCGTTTATCGCCCTTTTTAGGGCGGGATATCGTTTTCAACCGCAGGTAACCGTGGCCAAATACGTTTCGGCCGACTAATCGTACGGCTCACGTCGGTTCGATCGCTTTAATCCGATGAGCAATCGAAATGGATAAATAATTTGGAAAACAAAAGAAGAACAAATATATATATAAACACAAAATGAAAACTAAATTCTTTTACCATTTTTGGAACCAACATGATGCAACCAACCAAACCCTTTAAGAGCTTTTGAAATCTTCACAAGATTTGGTTTCCCCATCCCCAAATTCATCTTCCCTGCTGATAACTTCAATGCTTTCAAGCAACACAGTTGTCCATTGCTCATCATGAACTCATCTTCATCGTCTTCTTCATCAAGATCATCATCAAAATACTTGAACTCAGTCTTGTTCTTGATCAAGGTCTTCTTATGTTTGACCATGGCGTCCTTTTTGTTCTTCGATTTGGTGGTGGAATGATCGGTTTCATAAGCTTCCCATAATGAATCCATACCTTCTTCACCCCCTTCTGAGTTATGCCTTTCTTCGAACAGTTTGCATGCTAATGTTCGCTTCCATTCCTTCTCCTTCCTCATTGATCCATAGCTTCCGAAACTACTACACGAATCCAATCGCCATGAATTTGATTTCATGCCGAACGGATTCCGAACGGTTTTCTGTTCTTCGCCGGAAATTGTCGTCTCAGCCGAATTTGGAACAGTTTTCTGATCTTCGCCGGAAATTGTCGTCTCCGCCGGATTTGGAACAGTTTTCTGATATTCGTCGGAAACTGTCGTCTCCGCCGGAACCGCCATGGATTTACCTTCGAGTTTTTCCATTCCCGTCTCCACCGCCTCTGGTTTTTGTAATTCTCCAACAACTTTAACCAGATCCGAACTCATTTTCGTTTCCTTCATCTCAATCGCATCGATGGAATCTTCAAATAGATCCAATTCTTCGAATAATTTCTCCAAACTTTTCTCCTCTTCCGATTTACCTGCAACCTCCATTACCGACACTTGTTCCATGTGATCATCATCGCCGATTGTGATCAACGACGACGGAACATCATGAAACACGATTTTATAAATCTCAAAATCTTCAAAATTACAAAACTCCTGGTCTTCTTCATCAACGTCGTTGAGCTTCGATCGGAGCTTATCCAGGACAGTTTGAATAAACCCTAGTTTCTTCGAGTGAGGGAAAGTGGTGGCGAGGAAGGAGAGGAGGAGGAGGAGGGTGGTGGTAAAGAAAAGAGGGGAGAATAAGAAGATGAATTTGATCAAATAAGGAGAAAAGAAGAGGAAGTAAGAGAAGTAGAGAGGGTGAGAGAAGATGAAGGAACAGAGGAAGGGTAAATCGTATAAGAAAACAGTAGGGATTAATGGGGGATCGTTGTTGTTGTTGTTCTTGGTGGTAGATAAACACAGCTCATCAGGCATTCTTGCGGGTCCTTATGATCAGGGCAGTTGAGGTTGAGAGCGACGATAATGGCGGAAATTATAGAAAATGGAAGAAGATGGAGAAGACGACTGGAAATGTGAGTGTTTAGACTGAAGTGAATGCGGCGTGAATAAAGGGAGGAGAAGGATTTAAGTGGGACAATTCTTTGGATTTTTTATTTTATTTTAAATTAAATTTTGTTTTTTGATCCCTCTGGTTTGTTAATAATTGGGTAAATTGCATTAAAAAATAACCTACTTTAACTTGATTTTTATTTTAGATAATGTATTTTTAAAACTTTTATTTTGGTATCTAAGATATAACGTTTTAAACATTTAAGTACCTGGATAACCGGTTTCCATGTTGATGTGGTATCTAACTTAGTATTATTTGTTATTCAATCCAAATTCATGTCATCACTTGTCACATCAGCATGGTAATCGATTACCCGAGTACTTAAATGTTTAAAACTTTATATCTTATGTATCAAAATGAAAGTTATGAAAGTACGTTATCCAAAATAGCAATCAAGTTAAAGTATGCAATTTTTTTTATGAAATTTTCCTTTAATAATTTCATCTCATCTCATCTGTAATTTAGAAATTATGATTTTTATTCCTGTAATTTATAATTTATTGTGATTTTCGTCCATTGACTAATTCCTGGTTCCTACCTTTAAATACAGGATGGTAAAATAGTAATGAATTATAAACCACAAGAACTGAAATAACAATGAATTGTAAATCATAAACACAAGAATAACAACTAATTACAAACTATATGGATGAAAATAGCAATTTCTAAAGCATAAGAACTAAAATCACAATGTTAACAAACTATAGGGACAAAAAATGTAATTTATTCTTTTTAGATTAACTTACGTTTCTGTCTCAATGATTTGTTAAAAGTTGCAAAATTGGTCCCTGTAGATTTTTAAAATTACGATTTTCATTCTCATGGTTTGTAATTTGTTGTTGTTTTTGTCGTTAAGACTAAGATGATATGGGTCGGAGGCTATTACTAAAAACTGGGGCCGGGGCCGGGGATGGAGATAACAAAACCCGCTTCATACCCGCCCTGTTGCCATGCCTGTACTTAAGAAATTGCCTTGTGACGGATGTCTTACCCAAGTAAACATCCTGTAGTCGATGATTTTGTCTACCGCTAAATCAAAGGTACGATCTAGTAAAAAGTACAACACGAATCATAAGAGGTAAGTTATAACTCTTTAAACATAAATAAAGCAAAACATATTTATTTATGAATTTAAAAGTACAACTTTTAAAACATAAATGTTCACTTTTTACGGAAAATAATAGTTCTAAGTTATAAAAAGTACAATAATTGGTTATAAGTTTTTATATCTCATTTATCGTTCTACTGCTTATTACTTGCAATTTTTGTAAGAGGAATGTTATATGCATCTTTTTTTTTATTAACCTTGATATTTAACCCGCTATGCGAGCCGACTAATCATTGGGGCGACCACCTGCTTTGCAGGTAGCCGGGAGTTACCGCATTTGAACCTCCGTGGACATAAGGGGATTTTGTTTCTTCTTGGATTTGAACATGGGACCTCCAGACACTTTTGACATTTAGAGCCAAGGTCAAACCAATCAGACACCACCCTTGTAGTTGTTATATGCATCTTTTATGTTATAACGGAGTTAAATCATGTATTGTAAATGTAAAAGTAAATATTGATGTGTATGAGGAGAAAACTAGTAAGTACGAGTGCATTTAGACATTGTTTGACAAACATAAGCTGACTTATTTTTTGAATATACGTTTGGATGGACATAAGCTAACTTATAGCTTGTCGAAACCTAATTAAACTAGTGGTCTCGAAGCTCTATGACATTTTTTTCCAATTATAACCTTAACTAATATTAATCGTTATTTATCTTTATTAATCATTAATAATTATCAGTTAATTTCATATATTAAATATTATTAAATTTTAATTTTAATTTATTAATAATATTAATCTTAAATTATTAACTAATTTTAATTCTAAGATATTTATTAATATTAATTACTGATTATTTAGAATTATGATTAATCTTATTAATTATTTTTTATATTATTATTATTTATAAAAATTGGAAAAAAAACAAACAGTCCGAATTGTCCTACCTCTTAACTAATCAAATACAAGAGACTAATAAAAGCTTTTTTCCAAAAAATAAACCATGCCTTATATTTTCATCACCCATATTTATAAGATGTAATAAAGATTTTATAATAGAAAGTTAGTACCTGAGTTCAATCCCATCAAGTATTTGAGTTCACTTTTTTAATCGAATTTCTCTTTGAAAATCACTGTACTGATCAATCTCGATAGGTAACCGATGTACGGGAAAAAAAAGGACGTAAACTAACTACTGTTATTGATAATATATATATATATATATGTGTGTGTGTGTGTGTGTATATATATATATGTGAGATGTATAAGTTATTATCAAATATCATTTAAACTGTATTTGTCTTTTTATTTCTGATGACTTATTCATCTAATTGTTAAACAATATTTTTTTCCCTAACTTTTAAGTATTGTTAGAAATAACTGAATTTGACAAGTCATAACATATCAGTTGTCCACATTATACCATTTTATTTTAGATATACATTAATAGGGTTTGGTTCATGTGAGACCAGTCTGTTTTCGTGAGACCCGTAAGATCACTTTCTTACATTTAAAACTTCACAGCAAAATGCTCTGAAAGTAAAAAAAATGCCGAACTTTCATAACGTTTGTTGTGAAGTTTCAAGTATAAAAAGTGGTCTTACAAAAATAGACTGGTCTCATGTGATCCCAAGTTTACATTAATATACAATATTTACCGTTTATAATGATATAAAAAGGATATAAAAAGTGGTCTTTAGAAGTAATACAAAGTTTTCTATCAATTATTATCATTGTTTGTCAAATGCAATTATCATATTTTGCTTTTGAGTAATGTGATTTGACCAAAATGTCCTTGGTTGTTTTCTTTTGGCAATCATGATTTACTAGAACAAGAAGAAATTTGGCCATCAATAATGTTTTAGATCCTTCTTCTATGTAGATTATATGCCTTCTCTTAACTTTTAATGATATATATATATAGTATTGGGTTCACATGAGACCAATGATTTTTCGTGAGACCTGTAATACTAATTTATATTCATTGATCAACTTTATAAGTCAATGATATAATGATCTAAAGTTGTACGGTGAAAATTTTGTGATTATTAAGAAATCTCGTGACTTTTATGAATGTTCAGATTGTTTGATTGTAGATCTCATCCAAGGGTTGAAAATTGGTCTTACGGGTTTCACAAAAAACACTTGAACTCACATGATCCCAAGTCTATATATATATATATATATATATATATAGGGATTTTATGGTAACAAAAAGATAAATTGATATCTGATTAGGGTCGGGTTCTCTTGAAAAATGTCATGTTTCATAGCAAATATGATAAACGTGGCATTTATGTAAAATAACGTAACTTTCAGATAATGTATGATAGTATATGTAAAAGTACTCTTATACTGTGTGAAGACGTGTGAAGATGACTGTCTTTACATAAACTAAAGAAGGTACACATTCAGGTGTTGTAATCCTCACTGCATTCACAAAATATAACAGAACGTTCTACAGATAATAAGAAAGTTCAAATAATCCTTGGAGGCACGTTCACAATTTCACATCAGGTAATTTGAACGTTTTCAAATAATCTCTGGAAATGAAAATGCAATGGTTCAGTTCATTATTGTTATGTTTGACAAACTAATTGATAAACTAGTTGTTTGCTGATAAGTTAGCTGCCCAAGACCACAATGCCACCAGAATTTCGGTTTAGACTTTCACCCGCATCCTATAACCTTCTTGAATTAATAGCTGTATATCAAGTATTTGTACTCAGGGGCAGACCTATGAACACCTCAACGGGATTCCATACATCCTCTCAATCATTTATCGTGAGTAGAAATTTTTCTTGGGGTATGAAAAGTACATCCGTTAAACTTTCAAGGGTGTTTCGAGATATTAGAAAATACAAGGGACATCCACCACAAAACAAAAAGAGTATCTCGTAATCAACCAAAAAACTTAAAAAAAAAAAAAAAGAACCCTCGAAAAGGTAGAATCCAGCTAAAAACACATCGAATGACTTTTCGGATCCTTGATCCATCTTAAAGATGCACTCACTCGACAAAAAATCATATTTCAACCATTGCTTGTACCGATCGAAACCCTAAACATTTTCTTTTTCGCTTTTACACAATCTATGATAATAATAATAATAATAAAAAGGGAAAATGACGATTGTGACCTCATAACAACTTGAATTATTACAAGGCAAAAGTTGGAAAGTGAGTAAATGAAGAGATGTGGCAACAGAAAGAGAAGAGAGGTGATTGAGGGTGGTTATGGTAAAAAGCCATAACTAATGGCCCTTTCACATGGGGGAACCACTCATTCTTTCTTCATCATTTGCATATCTTGGTCCCTTTTTACCTTTTGGACCAACCTACTACCCCTTCTTTCACTTTTTCAATTGGTTTGGAGGGGTATTTTGGTAATATCACATTGATCTTTTAGACACTTCCATTTCATCATCAATCTTTTGACTAGGGGTGCTCAAAAATCCGACCAACTCAACCCAACGTGAAATAACCCAACCCGAAGCAACCTGATGTCTAATCGAGTTGTAAGATTGCCAAACCGTAGGTATTGGGTTGATATTGAGTTACTATTATTTGAACCCAACCCAACCCGATATCCTTTTATTTATTGGATTTAATATAATTGTTGAATTTCTATTAATATATACATTAGACAATTGCATTATCATGTATGCTTTTCATATACACATATTTTCAATCTATTCATATCTCTATATAACTCATTCATATATATATGTTTAGTAACTGTGAACATATATATGTAAATTGAGAAAATTAACTAAATGTGATATACGTAATAAATATGGATAAGTTGTATCAAATGGTTGATGATGAAAAATAAATTATGAGTAGAGAAATAACATATTTAAGGTTAGAAAAATATTTTAATATAACAA